GCAGGGCAGAGGTGGGGCCTGAGAACTTTCCTTCTAGCAAGCTCCAATCTGCTGATCCAGGAGCACTCTGGGTAACCAGGGTGGAGACACAGCCCAGTGGTCAAAGATGAAGGGTCAGTTCTTATTACTAAGGCTAAGCGCTATCGGACTCCAGGCCTCAAGACAGTGTGGGGCGCCCTGGATCACTGTGTTCTGTCCACAGCGTTCTCAACGCCTCAAGGCTACACACAGGCGGCCAGCTCCCTGGAGGGATGGCTCTTGGAGCTCCTCTTGGGTGTCTCAGGACAGAGACTGCTGTCTGAAGAGAAGTGCCGTTCCTCAGTCCTGTGACACTCAGGAGCCCAGGGTGACTATTTCACTGGCCACAGGACTGCCTCTGCTGAAGCCATAACACCTACAAAATGCCTTTCCACTCCTCTGCACACCACCCCTGCTCTCCAATGGCCATTTTGCCACTGGATAGGTGATGCGCAAGGGCCTCTGCCGGCCACCATGACTGTCCAGCCCAGGCTGACGGCTGAGCTCTGTGCCACGAGGGTCCATGACCCTCACATGTGCACTGACCCAGGCTGAGGACTTACACCAGCAGGCTCAAGACTCAGGAGTATTTAAAATCAGATGTCCTCAGGGAACGTGTTCTGTTCCTCTGTGTCTGAAGGGTCCACTGGAGGCATTAATCTTCATTTCCCAGCCCCAGGCACGCCAGGGTCTCACTAAAGTACACAGCGAGGCACTGAGATCCCAAACTCTTAAGCAATTCGGATGCTGCCAGCAGGTGCCAGCAGGCCCTGAGCTTCCACAGAGGGCTAGGGACGGTTTTACGAGGCCTCTGGGGATCCAGCGTTCTCTCTGGGCCCACAGGCTCACACTACGTCTCTCCACGAGCTCCCTTCTGTCCTGGCTTAAGCATCAGCTCCCACCAGAAGCGCCCCGGCCTGGCCCACCCCACCTGGATAGCTCCCCAGTCGTCTGCTTCTGTAGCAGCTCGTGCTCACCCTAAGACGATACAAATAAATCGTGCTTTATTCTTCCTTACGTGTTCTGCTCTTCCCCGCACGCGGGCCAGTGCTCAACAGAACTGGGAAGGGACGCCCACAAGGCCTCGGGCCGTGCCCCACCCACTTCCACTCCCTAGGCTGCCCATGGGTTCGGTGGTACCTTCCGCTTTGAGGTTTATGTGCATCAAGAAGAATCTTAGTTAAAGAAAGGCCGCACCCATAGGTGCTGAGAGGACTGGTTCGGACACCGTGCAATATGGGAATGGCCGGGGGTCTGCAGGGTGAGTTCTGGGCATCCCGATCCCGAGGCCCCAGTGGCAGTCCCAGCAACCCCTGCGCCCCGCCCGGCAGCAGGCCTCGCACCCCTCGCCCACCATTCTACCTTGGCCAGACGCGCCCTCTTGATCAGGTCATTGAGCTTCCTGAGGGCGGCGTTCCGGGGCAGAGACTGGATGTCTTTGAAGAGGTCCTGCTCCTCGGCCTCGAAGAGCTTGCGGTTGTCGGGGATGAGGAGCGGGTGGGACCAGAAGGAGCCGATATAGACCCGGACCACCTCAGGGGTGTTGATGATCTTCCCCAGGGACCACATGAGGGCCCCATACACCCGCATCAGCTGCTGGGTTTCGATCTGGTCAGCCTTGTTCAGCACCACGCGGATCTTGTCCTCGTGGTTCTTGAGGGCCTTAATGACTTCCGAGAACTCGTCGGAGATGTCCAGCTTGTGGGCATCGAAGAGCAGGATGATGCGGTCCACGCGCTCGGCAAACCACTCCAGGACAGCCGCGAAGTCGTACCCTGTGGGATGGGAAGGGTGAGCTCAGGGGCCCCAGGGGCCAGGCGGCCCTGACTTGGCCTGGTACCTCTCCACATGGAGTCATTTAAATTTCCAGAATGTACTCACAAGGGGGGCAGGGTCCCCCCATTTCTGTGCCCTCACTCATGCAGCACCTGGCATTAAGAGGTGCTTAGAAAATAAATGATGCAAAAGAAGTCACAAAGCCCAAGCTCTAAACTGGGTCAGACCACGGCAGGAGCGAGCAGACCCCAGCAGCATGGCTCAGCGCCGCATAGTGAGGACAGGCCTAGGGTGCTGCCAGCTGGCACCCGGATGCCCCGGCACAGCTGTGACAACGAATAATGGCAATACTACCTGCGGCTGCTACCGGCTCTGTAGGAATCTCATTCTCTATGGCCGGCTGGCAAGCTACAGCTCGGGGGCCAAATCTGACCCATCACCTGCTTCTATAAAGTTATACCAGACGGCAGCCCCCCTCAGCTGTACTGTTCCTCTGTGGCTGCTTTTGTCCACAATGGCAGAGTTCAGTTGTTGCGACAGAGACCGTAGGGCTTTCAAAGCCAAAAATGTTAACTCTCTGACCCCCATAGAAAGTCTGCTGACCTCTGCTCTACAATGAGGCCATGAAGTACGGCAAACCACTTCTCCCCTCTAGGTCGCGAATACTTCCCTAAAACGAAGCAGCTGCACTGAACTCCAGCTCTTTGCTCCCCTCACTGCTGGTTCCCACCAACCAATTAAGGCCCATTGGTGGCAGAGACTGCTAACTGGAATTCTTCTTTTAATAACAGAACTGTCTGGTTTCAGCTGAATTCATGACCCCCCAGCTTTTTGGCAGCGGAAATGAACAAGGAGTATGAGCCCTTTGTCTGTTCTCTTCCTGAAGAATGCGCACGTGATGACAAGAGCTGGAGCAGCTACCTTGGGCTCAGAGATGAAGCCTGCATGGCCAGGACGGCCGTGGACTGTTATTTTTTCACAGAAACCATCTGATATCTGAGTGAAGCCAGTAGAGTTTGGGGGTTCTGTACTGGTGGGTTGATTTGTATCCTGTTTACAACTATGCCTCTTCAAAATGTTTCCAATTCTTCCACTGCCCCTAAAGAAGTGAAAACTGTTCCTTACCTTTTAGGATTCCTAAGAAGAGGGCAAGAACCCACGTGGCAACCACTGCCTAAGAGCCCCTGGGACTCAAGCCTAGGCCCCAGCCCCTGTGCTGCCATCTCCTCTGTGTGTGATTCTGGGCAAGACTCCTTGTCTCCTTGGTTTCTGCCTGCACCCACCAGCCACCTAAATGTAGGCCAACCCTCTAAGGAACCACTAAGTGCTTGCCAGAGGGCAGTCCAGCCCCCAAGAATAAGCCAAAGAAGACACTCCAGAAAGAAGAGCCGAGGACGCAGCCCAGAACTGGCCAAACTGACCTTGCTTGTACTCCCCACCTTGGCCAGGGGTCCCCAACCCCTGGGTGATGGACCAGTACCAGTCCATGGCCTGTTAGGAACTAGGCTGCACAGCAGGAGGTGAGCGGCAGGTGAGCGAGCGAAGATTCATCTGTATTTGCAGCCGCTCCCCAGCGCCAGCATCACCGCCTCAGCTCCGCCTCAGATCATCAGGCATTAGATTCTCATAGGAGCCCCGGTCCCTGGTGCCAAAGAGGTTGGGGACCACTACTTTAGAATGCGGGAACAGAAAAGCAGGTAGAGATGGAGACCAACAAAAAGAACAAACTGTAAAAAAAAGCCCAGAGCAACCTACAGTGCCCTGAGGAGGAAAGGCAGCCCTCTCGTCCCCCTCAAAAGGAACCTGCAGAGTATTTCACACAGTGGGACTTGGCTGCTCCCCAGCCTGCCAGGCCCCGGGGCTGAATGCAAGTCCACAGTCCCCTGCTTCCTCCTGCCTCCTCTGTTCTCCCATCCGCTGGCCCCTCACCAGGGCTTTAAGGTAAACAGTTAACACTGCGGGGTGTGCCTGGGGCAAAGCCCCGCCTGGTTACATAAACATTCTGGCTGCCAGGCCCCCCCATATTCAAATGTGCTTCAGAGTTGCCTGAGTGCCTGAAGCCACAGGGTTCTCAGCCTCTCCCCACACTTGGGCGCTCAGAGCACACAGGTTTTTAAATAAGATAGCTCTGGACTCAACTCCTGGCTCCAGCCACTGACTCTGTGACCTTAAGTTCTTAACTTCTGAGTTACACATTCCTCATCTGTAAAAAAATTTAAAAACCAATCCCTCCCCGTGAGATCGCGGGAGGGCCTTACGAGGTGACGTGCGGGCTCCCAGCACAGGGCTGGGCGCTGCAACGACTCGGGTGAGCGGGGCAAGCGCAGGTGACGGAGGAGTGACAGGGCCCACTGCAACGAGGGACGAGCAGCCTGGGACTGCGTCATGCTCAGGAACTAAGAGCGACAAATGTTGGGCCTGGCTCTCAGGCCAGAGGCCGGCTTCTGTCCTTGTGGCAAACTTAAGGAACCCCCTAAATCCACTGCTCTGTCCACTTGGCATGGCGGCCTCTCCAGGGCAGCGATGAGCAACCTTCTCTCGCCCCACCGCACCGGGGGGGCGGGCAGGACGCTCAGGCCAGAAGGAATCAGCCCTTTGACCGGCCAGGGTCCCTTAACAGGGTGGAGGCGAGGTGCAGCTGCAGGCAGCAAAGCCTCTGCAGCTCTGAACTTCAGCCTGTGCAAAAGAGCAATCAGCCTTCTGGAGGTTGGGGCAGCTGTTCGGAAATGGCCGGCTACCAGGTTCCCCATGCTCAGTGTGGCAGGGCAAGTGCCAGGCCATTCCTGTGACAGTCGCCAGCCACCCTCACGAGCTGCTGGTTCTGAAGTACAAGCCTCCGATGCCCCTGGACACCATGCAGCTGGATCCTAGAGCCCCAAAGGGACCACCTAGAACAAAGCCATCATCAAGACACCAGAAAGGAGGGCTGAGGAGGAGGCTGAGGGAAGCAGGGCACAGGCTTCGCAGTCTGCAGGGCCTAAGGGGGCCATGCCGCCTCTGCCTTTTATGGCCGGCTCTAGGAACGGCAGGTCAGCACTGAAAAAGCGATGACTCAGGACTGAACAGCGAGCGGCTCCCTCTCAGCAAAAACGAGGCCCAACATCTCCCCTTGTCAAACAGTCCTCAGGCTGACAAAAGTTCAAATGACCACAGAGTCACACAGCGGGGGAGGCAGCGATGCCAAACCAAGGCGCTGGGAACAGGGGCGCCCTGATGGGCTGGGCTCGAGCCCAAGTTAGCTTTGGCCCAGGAGTGAGGACAGCGTGGGGAGCTGAGGTCGCCCCACCCAACGTGGCCTCGCTCCCCCCTCTCCCAATGGTGGGGGCCAAGAGCATGACGGGGAAAGGGAACGAGGCACCAGGGTCACTGCCTGCAGGGCCCCAAGCCCCAGCCAGAGCCCAGTGCCCCCACCCCTCCCGCACACCCAGTCACTCGCCAACACCTCAACTCAGAGCCAATAGAGCTAAGCCCATTTTTTTTGCAGGTGAATGAAATTTCCTGTTTATTATGGAAAACACTCACACTTTTGGTGAAGGAGACACAATGGCTGGCCAAGTACACCCACAGGTCACGAAAAAGGTCCCAACACTCAGGCATGTGTGATATCATTGTAGGTATGTGACCACGTACAACTAGGCGGTAGTAGCCACCGCCAGGCCCACCCAGTGTCCTAACCCATCACTGCCTCACTCGGCCTGAGAGATGGTCTCTCAATAGGCACCAAGGGCTAGACCCGCAGCTGCAGCACCGAGAGCATCAATCAGGTCCATGCAGGCAGCCACAGGCACCATTCAGCCTGGAGCTCTGTGGCAGGTGACAGACAAGTACAGGGATGAGCTTGCCAACCCCCCGCCCCCTAGTCCCCAGTGCTGCCCAAGGCAGTGAACCTTCAGCCTTTGGAACACGCTAGAGGTCAGCCTCAGTAACAGGTGCATTCAGCCACGGAATCAGGTATCAGACATCACCTAACGCACAGCAGTTCTGCAGCAGAAGTGGGAAGTCATGGTGTCCTTGGTGAAAAAGAAAACTGCCTCCACCCAGAGGTGGGAGCGTCGAGCTGTAGCTTCGTCCGCCTCGGGCCGGGTGGCAGTCAGAGCACTGGCACCGGTCACGCATGAAGGACACAGGCGGCAGGGTGAGGGGTGAGCTGGAAAGACAAGGCCGGCTCTGCAGTGCGAGCGAACGCCAGGCCATCTCTGATAAAGGACAAGCCCTGGCTGAGAAAGTTCTGGGACCTTGAAGATATTAGGGAAAAATAGAATAAGCCAGTCACAAAGGACATTTAAATACTGCAGGATTCCACTTACAGGAGGTCCCTAGACAAGTCAAATCCACAGAGAGAGAAAACAGAATGGTGGTCATCAGAAGCTGGACGACGGGGAACGGGAGGTCACCAGTGTTCAACGGAGACAGAGTTTCAGTTTGGGAAGACGGAACCAGTTGTAGAGATGGACGGTAGTGATCGCTGTACAATGTGAATGCACTTAATGCTACAGAAACGTACACTTAAAATGGTTAAGTCTTATGTGCATTTGACACACCCCCCCCCAACTCCTCTCACGCGGAAGGGCGAGGCCCACAAGCTGCGTTTTTTTCCCCCCCCCCCCTCTGCTCAGCAGGAGGGCTGACCCCAGCAGGCTGTGCTCAGCCTCTGGGAAGTGAGCTCGGCAAGGAGGCCAAAGCGCGCCTCTCACGCTGGCTCCGCTGGCTCCGCTGGCTCCATTCCCAAGTCCCTCTGGGCCCCTTCTGCCTCTCAGGTGCTGCCTCACGGGGTCTGCCTTCCTGATGAGAGTCATGCTTCCTGCCACCTGGCACCAAGGTGCAGAGGCAGGAGGTGCGATGCCTCCTCGCCCTACCCTAGCACCCTGCAGACGCAGGTAGTTCCACCAGCTGGGGGGAAAGCTGCTTCATACATTCCAAAAGTTTCTAGAACATGAACAATAGAGGGTTTGTCTCCAATCGCCTTCTGTTTCCTGCCATTCAAGCCGCGTGGGCCTGG